AATCAGATGTAGATTTGGTCTTTTTACATAATCCCATACTTCTTGCAGTCTTTGTTCATTTCTTTTTCTTCTTTTTTCTTTAGATTTCTCTTCTCCCTTCATTTCATTCATTTGATCCTCAGTTGCTGATACTCTTTCTTCCAGTTGATTGAGTCGGTTACTGAAGCTTGTGCATTTGTCACGTATTTCTCGTGTCATGGTTTTCATCTCTGTCAGTTTGTTTATGGCCTTCTCTGCATTAATTATTCTAGTTATCCATTCTTCCACTCTTTTTTTCAAGATTTTTAGTTTCTTTGTGCTGGGTACGTAATTCTTCCTTTAGCTGTGAGAAGTTTGATGGACTGAAGCCGTCTTCTCTCATCTCATCAAAGTCATTCTCCGTCCAGCTTTGATCTGTTGCTGGCGATGAGCTGCGTTCCTTTGCAGGGGGAGATGCGCTCTTATTTTTTGAATTTCCAGCTTTTCTGCCCTGCTTTTTCCCCATCTTTGTGGTTTTTATCTGCCTCTGGTCTTTGATGATGGTGATGTACTGATGAGGTTTTGGTGTGGGTGTCCTTCCTGTTTGTTAATTTTCCTTCTAACAGTCGGGACCCTCAGCTGTAGGTCTGTTGGAGATTGCTTGAGGTCCACTCCAGACCCTGTTTGCCTGGGTATCAGCAGGAGAGGCTGCAGAAGATAGAATACTGCTGAACAGCGAGTGTACCTGTCTGATTCTTGCTTTGGAAGCTTCCTCTCAGGGGTGTACTCCACCGTGTGAGGTGTGGGGTGTCGGTCTGCCCCTAGTGGGGGATGTCTCCCAGTTAGGCTACTCAGGGGTCAGAGACCCACTTGAGCAGGCAGTCTTTCCATTCTCAGATCTCAACCTCCGTTTTGGGAGATCCACTGCTCTCTTCAAAGCTGTCAGACAGAGTCGTTTGCGTCTGCAGAGGTTTCTGCTGCTTTTTGTTGTTGTTGTTGTTTAGCTGTGTCCTGTCCCCAGAGGTGGAGTCTACAGAGACAGGCAGGCCTCCTTGAGCTGCTGTGAGCTCCACCCAGTTCGAGCTTCCCAGCGGCTTGGTTTACCTACTTAAGCCTCAGCAATGGCGGATGCCCCTCCCCCAGCCTCGCTGCTGCCTTGCCGTTAGATCGCAGACTGCTGTGCTAGCAATGAGGGAGGCTCTGGGTGTGGGACCCTCCCGGCCAGGTGTGGGATATAATCTCCTGGTGTGCCTGTTTGCTAAGACCCTTGGTAAAGCGCAGTATTGGGGTGGGAGTTACCCGATTTTCCAGGTGCTGTGTGTCTCAGTTCCCCTGGCTAGGAAAAGGGATTCCCTTCCCCCTTGCACTTCCCAGGTGAGGTGATGCCTCGCCCTGCTTCAGCTCTTGCTGGTCGGGCTGCAGCAGCTGACCAGCACTGATTGTCTGGCACTCCCTAGTGAGATGAACCCAGTACCTCAGTTGAAAATGCAGAAATCACCTGTCCTCTGTGTCGCTCGCGCTGGGAGCTGGAGACTGGAGCTGTTCCTATTCGGCCATGTTGCTCCGTCCCCCAGAATGTATTTCTTAAATAATAAGACTTGAAAGTCAAAATTACACTTGATCCACGAGCTGCAGAATGGATGCTGTATTAGCAGGCATGAGAACCAACACTGATCTCCTTGTACATCTCCATTAGAGCTCTTGGGTGACCAAGTGCACTGTCAATGAGCAATATTTTCAAAGGAACTTTTTTTTTTCCCCTGAGCAGTAGGTATCAACAGTGGGCTTAAAATATTTAGCAAATCAATGCTGTAAACAGATGTGCTACCATGCAGGCATTGTTATTCCATTTATAGAGCACAAGCAGGGTGTATGTAGTATAATTCTTAAGGGCCCTAGGATTTTCAGAATGGGGAATGAATATTGGCTCCAACTTAAAGTCACCACCTGCATTAGCCCCTAATAGGAGGGTCAGTCTGTCCTTTGAACCTTTGAAGTGAGCCACTGACTTCACCTCTCTAGCTGTGAAAGTCCTAGATGGCATGTTCTTCCAATAGAAGGCTGTTGCATCTATATCGAAACTCTATTGTTTAGTTAGCCACCTTCATCAATAATCTTAGCTGGATCTTCTGAATAATTTACTGCAGCTTCCATTGGCTCTTACTGCTTTACCTTGTATTTTTATGTTGTGGAAATGGCCTCTTTCCTTAATCCTTATGAACCAACCTCTGCTAGCTTCAAACTTTTCTTCTGCAGCTTCCTCACCTCTAAGGCTTGAAGATAATTAGGGGCTTGTCCTGGATTATGCTTTGGCTTAATGGAATGCTGTGGCTGGTTTAATCTTCTACCCAGACAACTAAAACTTCCTCCATATCAGCAATAAGGCTATTTTGCTTTCTTATCATTTGTGTGTATACTGTAGTGGCACTGTTTTTTTTCTTTTTTAGAGACAAGGTCTTCCTCTGTCACCCAGGCTGGAATACAGTGGTGTGATCTCAGCTCACTGCAACCTCCATCTCCTAGACTCAAGCGATCCTCTCGTCTCAGCCTCCCAAGTAGCTGGGACTACAGGCATGCACCACTACATCCAGCTAATTTTTGGTTTTTTTTTTTTCTTTTTTTTTTTGAGACGGAGTCTCGCTCTGTCACCCAGGCTGCAGTGCAGTGACCGGATCCGCAGCTCACTGCAAGCTCCGCCTCCCGGGTTTACGCCATTCTCCTGCCTCAGCCTCCCGAGTAGCTGGGACTACAGGCGACCGCCACCTCGCCCGGCTATCAGTGGAGACGGGGTTTCACCGTGTTAGCCAGGATGGTCTTGATCTCCTGACCTCGTGATCCGCCCGTCTCGGCCTCCCAAAGTGCTGGGATTACAGGCTTGAGCCACCGCGCCTGGCCCATCCAGCTAATTTTTATATTTTTAGTAAAGACAGGGTTTCACTGTGTTAGCCAGGATTGTCGATCTCCTGACCTTGTGATCCGCCCTCCTTGGCCTCCCAAAGTGCTGGGATTACAGTCGTGAGCCACCACGCCTGGCCGGCAATGATATTTTAAAATGCTAACAGACTACATTGAAGTTACTGGTAGAAATATAAATTATTACAGTCTCTTTGGAGGGCAAAAATGACTTTATAAAATTCAAAATATGTGTATATGGACATATATATGTATGTGTATATATGTATATGTGTGTGTATACATATGCACACATACATTATATACACTTACGTATACACATGACAAATGTATCAGAAAATGGGAGCTACCAATAAATCTGCACTGACTTAAAACTTTTATTGAAATAAAAGTATGGTAGTGATTATTGAAGTATGAGAGCAAAACCTAAAAATACAGTGAGAAGTATGACTGTATATTTCAGACATTTAGAACAGAAAAAAGAAGAGAAAGTAAGGGCCTATAAATGTCAGTAGGTTTAATTTAATGACTGCAAATTAGTGAATGTATGCAAAAAGAAAGGATCCTGTATATGAGGGTGGACGGTACTCCCGAAGATGTTAATAACAGAATGATTATCAAAGTAAGGCTGGAAACTTATTAGGAAAGGTTGGTATCTAGCACACAGGTAAGAAAGCCAACCAGATCTCTAAGTTCTGAGGAAAGAAATTAAGAATGGTATCTAGAAATGACATCTTAGGTTTATAAAAGAGTTTGCATCAATGGTCACTTTTGTATTACAAAAGTATACATCAGACCAGGCGCAGTGGTTCACGCCTGTAATCTCTGCACTTTGGGAAGTCGAGGCAGGTGGATCACTTGAGGTCAAGAGTTCAAGACCAGCCTGGCCAACATAGTGAAACCCCATCCCTACCAAAAATACCAAAAAATTAGTCGGGTGTGGTGGTGCATGCCTATAGTCCCAGCTACTCAGGAGGCTGAGGCACGAGAATCGTTTGAACCCAGGGGCCAGAGGTTGCAGTGCGCCAAGATCGCTCCACTGCACTCCAGCCTTGGTGACAGAGTGAGACTCTGTCTCAAAGGAAAAAAAGAAAAAAAGCCGGGCCCGGTAGCTCACGCCTGTAATCCCAGCACTTTGGGAGGCTAAGTTGGGCAGATCTCGAGATCAGGAGATCAAAACCATCCTGGCTAACATGGTGAAACCCTGTCTCTACTAAAAATACAAAAAATTAGTAGGGCATGGTGGCAGGGGCCTGTAGTCCCAGCTACTCAGGAGGTTGAGGCAGGAGAATCCCTTGAGCCCGGGAGGCGGGGGTTGCAGTGAGCCGAGATCACGTGGCTGTACTCCAGCCTGGTGACAGAGTGAGACTCTGTCACACACACACACACACACACACAAAAGGTCTACAGCTTTCTGAAAAAAAAAAAATATATATATTTTTTGAGATGGGGTCTCATTCCGTTGCCCAGGCTAGAATGCAGTGCTGTGATCATGGCTTACTGCAGCCTCAACCTCCTAGGCTCAAGTGATCCTCCCACCTCAGCCTCCCAAGCAGCTGGGATCACAAGCGTGTGCCACCACACCTGGCTTTTTTTTTTTTTTACATAGTCGCACTCTGTCTCCCAGACTGGAGTGCAGTGGTGTGATCTTGGCTCGTTGCAACCTCCGCCTCCCGGGTTCAAGCAATTCTCCTGCCTCAGCCTCCCGAGTAGCTGGGACTACAGGCTCCCGCCACCACACCTAGTTAAGTTTTTGTATTTTTAGTAGAGACGGGGTTTCACTGTGTTAACCGGGATGGTCTTGATCTCCTGACCTCATGATCGGCCCACCTCGGCCTCCCAAAGTGTAGAGATTACAGGTGCGAGCCACGGCGCCATGCCTAATTTTTCTTTCTTTTTTTTTTTTTTAGAGATGAGATCTCACTATGTTGCCCAGGCTGGTCCCAAACTCCTGGACTCAAGCAATCCTTCCACCTTGGCTTCCCAAAGTGCTGGGACTATCGGTATGAACTATCGTGCCAAGCTCTGAAAATATCTTTGAAGAATATTTTAGAGGGATCAACCATTCACTGATTAATCATTAATAGGGCCCTGACCTCTCCTCACCTGTCTGGTTCCCTTCCACTTACCTTTCCAGTGTCTCCTTAATACTTCTTCCTCCATCACCCATGGTTCTTCTTCTTGCTCCAATTTGAAAATCACATCAGGTTTTGTGAATGGATAGCCTGTCAAAGGGAAGTTACATAGATCTGTGCATACATACTACTAGGAACAAAGAACCACCCAAAAATTGAGGCTGGCCCAGGAAAACCAGGCTTTCTAAAGGACAAGAAAATGTGGCTTCTAGGGATGCTGTCTCCTTTTGTTCTGAAAACTGCAGCATGGACATTCACATGAGCAAAAGCATCCCAGGGGCAAGCTCACTCTAATATTTAAAAGGTCCACATATTTCAGAAACACTAGGGGGGTAGGGGAGAAGGTACTTTCTTACCAGAGTTTGAATTATATAGTGAATTACTCTTACCCACTGTGATTAAGTTGTTATAGTTTTCTAGCATCACGTTCCGGTACAGGTTTCTCTGAGCAGGATCCAATCTCTTCCACTCCTCCTGGGTGAAGTCAATAGCCACATCTTTGAATGTCACTGTTCCCTGTAACAACACACTCCCACTCAATCTGAAGTATCCATCTTAGGTGATTGTAAACAAAATATATTGAACCTTGTTCTGGTATTAATCAGAGGTTATTTTAAAAGCCCATCATATTAGCAGCCTGCTGTCAGTTTATGTTCATTCACTGATTTAGCAAGCACATGTTTTTATTATCTACCGTGAGTTAAAGGGGAGATGTTAGGTACCAATTTATCCTGAGTGTGAAAGAAATGGAAAAATAAAACTTTAACCAAGTTAAGTGGTTTGAGATCTCAAAAGATACCAAAGGCAGGAAAAAATGAAAGCAAGGCTTAGATGGAAGCAGAAGCAGGGGACAGAATGATAGGTGAAATCTGTGGTATGGTGGGACATGCAATTGTAGATAGCCACTGATTTAGCAGTTGGACATACTGTTCATGAGATCAGGAGAAATCCACATTGGAAATGAAGACTTATTGGTCATCAGCCTGTAGTATGTGTCTGCAGCCATGCAAATGGGATCTGATTGCTTAAAGAGTTTACATATACTGGAAAAGGGACCACAGATAGAATCTCAGAGACAACCATGAAAAAAATATGCCCTGGTAACAATTTGTCAGGGGAAAAATAACCTGAAATCCAGGGGCTTTTAATATTTCCTCTTATCTGGCAGGAAGATCCAAATAAGCTTGGATAAAGCACTTAGTGAGGAAGTGGGACTGAGGAGAAAGCATGATGTGAAAATCTGGCGCTGGTATAATAGTTTCACCAATTACAGGGAAGGACATGAGCACATAAGACACACTCTTGCTGGGACTACCTCAGCTGCAGACTTTTTCCTCAGGAAGTTGTATTTTCTTCAAGAGATCAGATCATTAAACTAGTAAATAAATTTTAAAAATCAGCACCAAAGATTTTACAAGAAAATCCTAATTGCCCCTAGCTCAAGAGTAAAAGAATCCCAAAAGAAGTCATTAAAGGCCGGGCGCGGTGGCTCAAGCCTGTAATCCCAGCACTTTGGGAGGCTGAGACGGGCGGATCACGAGGTCAGGAGATCGAGACCGTCCTGGCTAACACAGTGAAACCCCGTCTCTACTAAAAAATACAAAAAACTAGCCGGGCGAGGTGGCGGGCGCCTGTAGTCCCAGCTACTTGGGAGGCTGAGGCAGGAGAATGGCGTGAACCCGGGAGGCGGAGCTTGCAGTGAGCTGAGATCCGGCCACTGCACTCCAGCCTGGGTGACAGAGCAAGACTCTGTCTCAAAAAAAAAAAAAAAAAAAAAAAAAAAAAAAAAAAGAAGTCATTAAAATACATTTGAAGAAAATACTTGAGAAAAATAATTTAGTAAATGCAAAAATAGAAACAATTTAAAGTGAAAAATTTAGAACTTGTATCTACATAAATCTCCATATTTAAAAGCTGGAGCTAGGCGCGGTGGCTCCCGCCTGTAATTCTATGACTTTGGGAAGCCGAGGTAGGAGAACTGCTCGAGGCCAGTTCAAGGCCAGTCTGGGCAACACAGCAGAACCCCATCTCTACAATCAATCAATTAATCAATCAATCAAAGCCGTGTATGGTGGTACGTGGCTATAGTCCCAGTTACCTGGGAGGCTGAGGCGGGAAGACTGCTTAAGCCTGGGAGTTTGAGGCTGCAGTGAGCCATGATCTCACCACTGCACTCCAGCAGCCTGAGCAATAGAGCAAAACCCTGTCTCTTAAAAGAAAAAAAAGTTGATAGTTTAAGAAGAATGAATTAGCCAAATATTTAGTAAGTTTAATGAAGAAAAATAAACATCCCAAACTAGGAAAAACCATTAAAACTAATCAATATTTAAAGTAGTACATATCTGTGGTTTGTTTTTTTTTTTAGATAGAGGCTCTCCCTGTCACCCAGGCTGGAGTGCAGTGTGGCGTGATTTTGGCTCTCTACAACCTCCGTCTCCTGGATTCAAATGATTCTCCTCCCTCAGCCTCCCAAGTAGCTGGGACTACAGGCGTACACCACCACACCCAGCTAAATTTTGTATTTTCAGTAGAGACGGGGTGTCCCCATGTTGGCCAAGTTGGTCTCTTAACTCCTGACCTCAAATGATCTGCCTGCCTCCGCCTCCCAAAGTGCTGGCATTACAGGTGTGAGCCACCATAACCAGCCTGAAATTTTAAAATTCATAACGAAATGAATAAGCTAAAGGGAAACATAAGCCTAAGAAGAAAATCCCAACAGTGCAATACTGTAGCAACCCCTGTTATTCTTCTATTCCATTATTTATTCTGTCTTCCCAATTTCTGGCCAGGCACATGGTCTGCTGAAATAAGTATTAATATGTTTATATTATAAAGTTCTGGAGAGTGAGATGAAAGTACTGCATGCAACTGCTGATAAGTGAGCATAAAAGCACGAGGTATACCATTTCTCCCAAGCTTCTACCTTCTTGTAGAATGGTAAGTCAATGTGATGGTTAGAGCAAATACAGCCATTTGAGATGAGGCAGAAGTCAACAACTGAGAATGGTAGAGCAATGAAGGAGAAAGCGTTTTGTTTTCTGCCCGTTGGAGCTACAGGATCAGTGCTGAACTTCAATATGAGAGATAAATAAACTTCTATCTTGTTTAAGCAAAGGTTATCTGGGCTTTCTATCACAGGCAGTCAAGTGTAATACTAACAGATTAATATGTTCATGCCAGATCTGGCCATCCTTTGGCAGCTATGAAGGCGTGGTGCTCAAATCCTTTTTAAGGGAATCCACTGTGAGAAGCATAGTTGGCAAACAGCCATGCTGAAGTCATGATACCCCAACACTGCTTCCAGCCACAGGCTCAGCATAGTGAGGCTATTAAAGTCTGGACTATTACACCTGATATGGTTTTCCTCCAGTGGGAAAGCTTTGGTCAGCAACTCCCCTTTGGCCTGGCTGAGACTTTCTCACAGCTTCAGGGTGGTCTGAGTTGGCAGAAAAAAGTATTAGTAAACTTGAAGACAGATCAACAAAAATGATGCAATTTGAAGAAAAGACAGAAAAAAGGACAAAGAAAAATGAATACAGGCTGGACACAGTGGCTCATGCCTGTAATCCCAGTGCTTTGGGAGGCCAAGGTGGGAGGATCACTTGAGGCTAGGAGTTCAAGACCAGCCTGGTCAAGACGGTGAGACCCTATCTCTACCAAAAAATTTAAGAAATCAGCCAGGTGTGCTGACACATGCCTATAGTCCTAGCCACTCAGGAGACAGAGGTGGGAAGACTGATTTAGCCCAAGAGTTCAAGGTTACAGTGAGCTATAATTGTGCCACTGCATCTAGCCTGGGTGACAGAGTGAGACCCTATCTCAAAAAAAAAAAAAAAAAAAGAATGTAGACTCAGAAATGTTAGAGCAATAAGTGCATCAACATATGCATAATTTAGTGTAAGTTAGAGAGGAGAGAGAAAAGGACAGAAAAATATTCAAAGACATAATGACTGAAAACTTCCCACATTTCATGAAAAACATTAATGTACATATTCAAGCTCAATGAATTTCAAGTAGGATAAATGCAACAAGATACACACCTAAACACATCATAGTCAAAATGTTGAAAATAAATATAAAGAGAACATCTTGAAAACAGCAAGGGAAAACAATTTATCATCTTCATCAACCACAATAAAACTAATAGCTGACTTCTCATCAAACACAATGGAGGACAAATAGCAATGGGACAACATATTAGATGTTCTGAAAGAACAAAAAAACTATCAGAGAGGAAGCAGGGAAAGAGGGCCCAATAGAAGACTCCACTGATCATCCTCCCCACAGGAACACCAAACTGAACAACTATCCACACAAAAAAGCATCTTCATCAAAACCAAAAATCAGGTCAGCAGTCACAGTATCTGGTTTTAACTTCACATCACTGAAAGTGGCACTAAGGAGGATAGGAAAGACAGTCTTGAATTGCTGATGCCATTCCATCCCTATCCTCCAGCAGTGGTCATATGGTGGTAAGAAAGAATCTATGCTCCTGGAGGAGGGAGACCAAGAGTGATTGTAGGACTTTGCACTGGAACTCAGTGGTGCCCCGTCACAGCAGAAGGCAACACTGGGGAGAACTCAGTTGGTGCCGACATCAGAAGTATTTAGACCATCCCTAGCCAGTCTGGGGGAATTGTCCATTGTAGCAGTAGGAACCTGAATTCCGGCAAGCCTCACCACCATGGGCTAAAGAGCTCTAGGGTCCTAAGTGACCTTGAAAGGCAGTCTAGGCCACAGGAATTGCAATTCCTGGGCAAGTCCTGGTGCTGTGCTGGGCTTGGAGCCAGTGGACTAGAGGGGCATGGGACCTGGTGAGACACCAGCCAGGGTAGCCAAGGGAGTGCTTGTGCCACTCTTTCCCTAACCTGAAGTAGTGCAGCTCGCAACTCCAGGAGAGACCCCTTCTTTTCACTTGAGAAGAGTAGAGGGAAGAGTAAAGAGGACTTTGTCTTGCACTTTGGATACCAGCTTAGCTACAGTATGATAGGACACCAGGCAGAGGCCCCCATTCCATGCGCCAGCTCCTGGATGAAACTTCTAGACACACCCTGGACCAAAAGGTTACCCGTTGCCTTGAGAGGAAGAACTCAATCTTGGCAGCATTCATCACCTACTGACTAAAGAGCCCTTGAGCCCTGAACAGCCAGCAGTGGTAGCCAGGTACTACTCACCATGGGCCTTGGGTGAGACTCAGAGATGTGCTGGCTTCAGGTGTGACCCAGCACATTTCCCGTATGGTGGCTACAGGGAGAGACTCCTGCTTGAGAAAAGGAGAGGGAAAAGTACAGGGAACTTTGTCTTGCAGCTTAGGTACCAACTTGGCCACAGTGGGGTACAGCACCAACTGGGTTCTTGGGGTCCCCAGTTCCAGGCCTTGCCTCTTGGATAGCATTTCTGGACCTGCCCTGGGCCGAAGGGGAGCTTGCTGCCCTGAAGGGGGAATCCCAGGCCTGGCAACATTCACCACAAGCTGACTGAAAAGGCCTTGGGCCTGGAGTGAACATTGGTGGTAG